TATTAACTGAGATTTTGAAGTTGTTCATTATACAGAAAATGATAGATAGTATATAAGGAAAAGACATAAGGCAGAGCCTGGATGTTTACAGAATAGAAAAGAAAAATGGAATAGGAATGGAGATTTAAAAACTTGAGGAATAGGAAAATATTGGCTTTACCTTGTTTTGCCTTTACTATGTGGGACATTCATATATCCCCTGACTTTCTCTCCTCTTAGGTACAAAATTAAACTAAGCAATCATGATGACATGACTAAAATATAGAGCTTTTGAAGAGATATAGACACTCAGAGCAAAAAAGAAAGAAAAGTAGCTAATTCCTGGCATTTAAGAAATCAAAGCACTATAGGGCTGAGAAAGACATAAGCTAGAAAATCAGTCCAGAGATTGGAAGTGGAGAAGGATTGTCTGAAAGAAAAGAGAAGACCAGGACTCTAGATTGTGGGACAATCCTCTTATACAGATTTTAATCACAATATGGATTTGATTCCATGCAGAATTAAACTCAATTCTTCATGGGGAAAAAAGAGTAGATAGTAAGTAAAGGCATAATAGATCTCTAATGAACAACTAGAAAATATGGACAAGTAATACTTAGATGGGACACATCTAATATGTATGAATGTCAAGACATCTGTTAAGAGCAAGCATAACTCTCTGGTAGAAACAATGAAGATAATTTAACACCACATCATATATATATGTATATATATATATAAACGTCATATATACATATATGTATATACATATATATGTATGTATATATACATATACATCATATATACATATATATTACATCATGTATATTACATCGAGGTTTTCCTAGAGGATTACAGGTGTGAGCCACCACACACCTGTAATCTAGTACTCTGGGAGGCCAAGGTGGGAGGATCACTTGAGCTCAGGAGTTTGAGAAAAGCCTGAGCCAGAATGAGACCCTGTCTCTACTGAAAATAGAAAAAATTATCTGGCCAACTAAAAATAGAAAAAAAAATTTAGCTGGGCATGGTGGTGCACACCTGTAGTCCCAGCTCCTTGGGAAGCTGAGACAAGAAGATCACTTGAGCCCAGAAGTTTGAGGTTGCTGTGAGCTAGGTAGGCTAACACCACAGCACTCTAGCCTGGGCAACATAGTGAGACCCCAGCTCTATAAAATCTTTTTAAGGTTAGCCAGGTGTGGTGGCAAGAACCTATAGTCCTAGCTACTCAGGAGGCTGAGGAAGGAGGACCACTTGGGCCCAGGAGTTCAAGCCTGCAGTGAGCTATGATCATGCCACTGCACTCCAGCCTAGACAACAGAGAGAGACCCTGTCTCCAAAGGGAAAAAAAATGAGTTTTTATCTACAATAACTTGAATTTTCTAGGCACTTCTAATAGGTCATCCATCCTGCTAAGTACCTTACATACATCATCCCATTCCATTGGATCTTCAAACCTTATATGTTGTTATTATTATTAATGTTATTATACATCCTTCATGTCTCCAGTTTTACAGACAGAGACACTGGGGCTGGGGATGAGGTGGTGAATGATTTGTCTAAGGTGTCATAGTAAGTGATACAGCAGGGATTTGAATTCAGAATTGCTCAACTTCAAAGGCCACATTCATAAGCATTATACTCAATAATTGCCTCTCTGACTTTTCTGATATTACATATTTCAGAATCATTATTGTCAGCATAAATTATCTTTGAAATATTAATGTACAATATTGAGAAAGTGGCAAATCATATCATTTAATATGGTATTTGATATATTATTTGATATTCATGGTAATGATGAATAATTAAATTATTATATTATAAAATATCATGTCTTTTAGAAAATGTAACCCTTGATTAAACTAATATTTAACATTAAAAGTCTGTCTAAAATTCCATAACATCTTTGGTTAACTGAGTCAAATCTACTTTCATAAGAGTCCTATTAATTTATGAGTGTCTATTTAATTTCTTTCATGAAAAAGATTATAATTTCACATACCAATGGTATGACAATGACAGCCAAAGCAAAGATATCTCTTTCCTTTGCTTTTTTTTTTTTTAACAATGGCCTTTATGCTGGATTCATTTGTCTTGAAATGATAGGCAACCACAGATGCAGACTTCAATCTATGGTACATATCAAGCAATTCAACTTTTTCTTGTAATGTCATGACTTTTCTCTGCTTCCTGGGAGTGCTTGTAGCTTGACTTGTGGCACTTCGTATGGATCCCATAATGTTACTCAATGTTTATGGTATCACACTAAACATGAAGAAAAATATACCTGAGCAGCAAGGGATCACTTTTTACTGTGATATGCAATTTATTGGAGAGATGAACTGCTCACACAGAGATGATTAGCATCACATGACACTTTAAGTGGATACTTGCAACATTTGAGCTTAACACAATAGCAACAGGAGGTGGCTAAAAATTATTACAGTAGTACAGTCATGTACTACAGTTAATTTTATTCAATTATTGTTTAATTATGCATCTTTACATTTGTTTATATTTCTTTCAAATGCAAATGGTGCTATGTAAGGTCTGTAAGTACCATGTATGGTCTGTAAGTTTTGATAAATGTTAACTTTTTATAATAGATTCCTGTGTACTTCATGGCAAATGATAAAAGATACTAATATTTAAATATATTTTATGTATTCATGACATGCCTTTTTCCATATGTAAGGCTATGTGAGTTTTATCAAATTGTTGCAAATGTCCACAAAGTTTTCCAATATATTTATTGGAAAAAAATCTACATATAAGTGGACCCACACAGTTCAAACCCATGTTGTTCAAGACTCAACTGTATATATATAAAATGGAACATTAGGCAGTTCTTTTAAAAATGTGACAAATTTATACTTACTGATGTAGAAGATGTATATCATAAATTGTTATATTTAAAAAGCAAGATGTGGAGCAGTACTTACCATATATTCCACTTTTGCTTTAAAAAATACATGTTATATGAACATGGAAATATCTCTGGAGGGATACAGAGCAATCTGTTAACAGTCATTACTTGTAAGGGAATAGTATTATAAAGTACAGTCATGGGTCATTTAACAACAGGGATATATGTTCTGAGAATTACATCATTAAGTGATTTCATTGTTGTGTGAACATCACAGAGTATATTTACACAAACCTATTAATAGATGGTATAGCCTACTACACACCTAGGCTATATGGTATAGCCTATTGCTCCTAGGCTACAAACCTGCACAGCATGTTACTATACTGAATAACCTAATTCATTGTACTGAATTGTAGGCAATTGTAACACACAACAGTAAACATTTGTATATCTGAACATATCTAAACATAGAAAAGGTACAGTAAAATGATGTTATAATCTATGGGACCACCATTGTACTTTAGTCTATCATTGCCAGAAGTGGTGCTAGGCAGAGCATGACTGTATCTTACTTTTAACTTTATATACTTCTATGTAGTTGGCCAAGTATTATGCTTACAATTTTTAAATAACTTAAAATTAAAAAAGGAAAACTTAAAATCTTGGAATATTTTAAGTTACTGGTTATTCAGTAGAGTGATTTCATAAAAGATATTATAGGGAAGCAGCATGGTACAGTGATGAGCAAACTGCCTAAATCTGAATCCAACTCTGCTATTTACTCAGTATGCATGCGTGGGCAATTTACTTGTTTCTTTGTGCCTCAATTTCCTCATCTGTAAAGTGGGAATAATCATAGTGTCAATTTAGATTGTTGGACTAATAAAAGGAGACCGCATGTAAAAGAATCTAACTTAAGATAGTACCTGGAACACAGTAAAAATTCAATAAATGTTAACAACCAATAGATGAAGAAGTACGGGAAGGATAAATGCCTTAATGAAAACAATCCAACTAGTTAGATTCCAGAGTTAGGATTAGAACTCAAGCTATCTGGTTCCTGTTTCAGCTACCTTAGAATAACAGACTTTTTTCTTTCTTTTTCACATAATTGCTCTTAAGACTCTGAGATCAGTCTGATTTACTTTATTCTTTATTCTAAAGGAACTGTCTCTAGCATTAGAGTGGCATGTATAGAAAACTACAAAAAGAAAGACAAAACATCAAGAAACTTTTTAAGATACAAGAACAATAATTCATCCAATAAGTCAAATAATAACCTGAAAACTCTATTTCTTAAATTTAAGATGCATGTACTATTGATTACAAAAATCTATTAGCGAAATTTAACCTGAAAAAAATTTTATGAAAAAGTAATCTCTAAAATATGACCAACATGTCATGTCAATTTATAGAGGTGCCTAATATCTCAAGCACTTGTTCAGCCTGGGTTAAATATTTCACACATTATGTTCTCAAAAAGATGTCTAGGTAAGTCATCAACTCCACTTAGTACATATGAATACCAAAGTCCTGTGAACATCCTGGGTTTTAAGGAAACATGATTGCTTGGCATATAGCATATATTAGACAGACATCTGTTGCATAGATGAATGAAGTATACTTTAAATCTAATTACATAATTGTATATCTGCTGGTTGTCCATTTCTGATGTACTTGAAAATCTTTCTTCTTTACTTATCTCACAGAGTAAAACAAGGAATTTGTAATTTAATACCATCTGAATCAACTACCAGTGTTTCTATTTTTCTGTTGACAGAATCTAAGCATTGAGAAATATTATTTTCTAACATAAACAAGTTCCTCCTATTATTTTCTGACAAAATTTCATGAATATTTTAAAAAGAAAGGAAAATGGAGACAGAGAGAGAAAGACAGAGAAAGCGAGCTGCGGTATGACTATCAATGACTCTCCGGTCTCAAAACAGCTTTATTTCTATTTCTTCTAAGATACACGTGTAGTTTAGTTTTCTGGGTTGATTGCCGATTTCCACAGTCTCTGCACATCACTTTCCTCCCATTCAAAACACTGCTTTTTCGCTACCCAACCCAGGCTTGGGAGAATGTGCCTTCTTTGACTCATACTAAAAACAGGAAGCAAAAGATTGGGGTTGTTTTGAAAACTTACCCTTTCATATTCTCTTCTTAGCCTGAGGCATAGAGCAGAATGCAAGTGTTTTTAAACTTCTTTCAACCAAACTCTACCATTTTGGCTGCATCCCCTAGAAAATAATATGGAATATCCACACAAACATAAGAGAACTGGGTTCAAATTCCACAGAAGAAATTTAGCTATTGTGTATAGCTCCATTCTTGGCAGAGTATTGGGATTTTAAATTAAGGGGAGAAAAGGGAAAAAACCATAAATACAACAAGACTGGAAGCTACTATTCTTGTAATTATTTGGTTTTGCAAATGCACTAGTCAAAAATACTCAATTACTTGCCCTAGGCATTTTTGTGATTTACAATACTTTCTTCTGTTCTATCAACAGAAAATCATTTCAGATGCAGGTAGTCATTGTCACAGTGTTATTTTGGTGTAATGCTTTCATGTACAAAATTACTATTTCAATATTATTACATGTCTTATTTATACTACCAAATTCTTCTATCTTCAATCTCTTTTATACTTTGTAGCTCATTTTAAACTTGTATTATATTCTATTTTTTTCTGGGTGTTTCGAAATCATCCTTGGTGGCAAGCATTAAGGATTTGAGCAGTTTATTATGAACTGTGCATCCTGTCCTTCTGAACAGGAACAAAAGGCTCTTCAGAATCCCAATGGCAGCATCTACAGCTCCTGGGAACTCTGACACCAACTCTGAGCACAACACTCAAATTTACCTGCTTCTTTCATATTGTACCCAATATGGCTGTGAGAGATAAGGGTAGCTGTGAAGACAGAAAAGAGGAAGCCATGAATTAGAGACACAAAAATGGAAAGTGGCTGGCATTTGAGAGTATCTGATTGAACCAAATCTGCAGCCTGGTTATTCAGCCTTTCCTGGATTCTTTGGTGACATCCTTGTGTCCTCAGGATAGCCTCCTTTTTACTTAAATTAATTTAGGCAAATATCTTTACCTTCTAACTGAGAGAGCACAGACTCCTGATCATCAACTATTTGCCATGCACTTCAAATCCATAATCTTATTTTATCATTAACACAATCTTATTACCAATTTACTTTCACAAGGAAAAAAGAAAAGATGAAGGTTCAGAAAAATTAACCAATTAAGCAATTTAGCCAAACTTAAATGGCTATCAAATGGAAGATCTGAAATTTGAATCTGAGTCTGTCCAAGTTCAAATGTTATGTTTTCATCCAATTCTGGTGGAACAGAATGTAAGTGCTATGGGAGACTATGAAAAACAGACCACTTTTTATTAGAGTATACAGAGAAACCTCATTAGAGGAGGAAGGACTTGAGCAGATCTTAAAAGATGAGTAGAATTCAGAACATTTCGAGTAGTGATGGAATGCTATTCCAGCTATAGGTACAACAAGACAAAAATTCTGATGATAAAAATGAGAACATCAGGCAAGACCAGGGAAATGCTAAGTTTTCCATAAATGAGAAGAGGCTTCATTTTGGAGGATGGTATATGAAATCAAGTTAAGTGGTTAATTATCTTAAAACCCGAATTCTTGGCCTTGCATACTTAACAGTGCTAAATGATAGATCTTTTTTGAGCCTCAGTACAATGTGTATGTAAACAGCCTTATTCCTACAATTTAGGAATTGGAACTCTGGATAAAAATATTATTTTAAAAGGAAACAAAGTCTACCCCCAAGCTTTTATAGCTCTTCCCCATGCTCACTCCTTCCTCCATGCTCCCAAAATAGAAATCTTCCTGACTCTAGGGAAACCATGACATTTTCAACTTCGGAACTACTGATAATGTCATTATAAAAGAAAATGCCCTGTGGTCACAAGATAGATTCAGCTATTACAGTCAAGGTAAAGTAATTTATTCATAAAGTTGAGGTACATTTTTAAATTCTTTTATTACAAAAATGAATTAACAAGACTAAAAAATGAATAACTCTGAAAGTCATTTAGAAGAACCTATACCCACATAAATCAAATCTCCTGGGGGCAAAGACAGGGTACATTATTATTCTCTTAAAAATCCATTACTTTTCCAGTTGCTTCTATTTTCTCTTCATCCACTCATCATTAACCCATTGCATTGCTTAACTACTCTCTTTGAATGTAACAATGTGTATTAGTTTCCTGGGGCTGCCATGACAAAGTAGCACAGAGTCGGGGGTTTAAACAGCAATATAATTTATTTTCTCACAGTTCTGGAGACTAGAATTCCAAGATCAAGGTGTTGGCAGACTTGGTTTCTTCTGAGGCCTCTCTCTTTAGCTTCACATGTCTTCCTTGATATGTTCACATGATTTTTCCTCTGTGCAAACACATCCTTGGAGCCTCTTTTTGTGTGTCCAAATTTCCTCCTCTAATGTGAACACTACTCAGAATGGATTAGAGCCCACTGTAATGGGCTTATTTTAATTTAATAACCTCTTTAAAGGTCCTAGCTCCAAATGTAGTTGCATTCTGAGATATTGGTGGTTAGAGCTTCAACATATGAATTTGGGGGGAAGGCACAACTGAGCCCATAACACAGTGACTTCATAAAGTCACTTCAGTGAACCCAAAGGTCTTTGTCTTCAGCATCCTTAAAGTCTTTGTGGGATTTAATCATGTGCCCACTTCTTTTTTGCAATTTTCCTCCCTTGGCTTAAAGGATACACTACAGCATCTTTCTCCTTTGGACCTTTTCATATGATATTTTTTTATAATTAGACCAATTCCCATGTCCTCTTTGCCTCCATTCCCAGTTGAACATTAATACTTTGGAATGCCTTCCATGACTACCATAGCCACCCTATGTACATCCTATAATTTCCTTTATCATTACAATAATAAGATGAGAAGAATAATAAAAGAAAGGGGAGCTAACATTTATTGAGTAGTTTCTGTGTGCCTGGCAGTGTTCGAAGTGCCTTACATGTATTACCTCTTTACAACAATCCAACACAATAAGCACTATCATTATTTCCATGTTTTAGACAATAATATTGAGTCATAGAAAGATAAAGATACATGGCTCTACTAATCAACAGAGTATTTGTCATGCTGTATTATAATTGAAATTGTAATTGTCATTTTCTCCTACTAAACTGTAACATATATGAAGGCAAGGAAAGATTTGACTTATTTGTCGGGGTTTTCCCAGTACTCAACATGTTGTCTTATTGGTAGCTGCCTGAAAAACATTTTTTGTTCCATTGAATTGATTTGAGTTGAATTGTATTCTCCTCCTCCCTGTTTGACTTCTTCTCTAAATGCTTTGTTGAGTCCTCTTCCTCTTTGCACCTTGCAAATGTAGATATTTCCCCCCAGAAGCTCTTATATCCTCCTTTTTCTCTATATACATACTCTTTCAACTGGATCTCATCTACTGGCAGTGTCAACCATCATATCTATTCAGATGAGTCCCAAATGTATTATATTTCTATAGTTTTGACCACTCTCCTAAAGGCTGGTGCCCTTCCACCTATCTATATGCTAACTCTGGCAGGATGTCCTATGGCAATTTCACATCAGTTTCAACGTCCAAATCAAAATCATCATGCTCTTGCATTTACTTTCCTGTTTATCTTAATGGCAGCAGTCCTCTTTTATTCACCCAACTGATCCCTGAAAATTAATCTTGCCTCCTGCTCTAGCCAGTCAGCTGCTAAATCATGTAGGTTCTCCCTCTGTAACACCTCTTTTCTTCATGCCCATTTTTACTCTATTAGTTCAGGGTCTCATTATCTCAAGCCCAGACTTTCACCTTGGCTTCCTAAATGGGCTTCCTTCCTCCAACTCACCCATGAAAATGCTTCCAGATTCATCTTCCTAAGATGTCACTATGATAAAGCCTTTAGTGACTCCCCATTCTAATGAATTATAGATAACTTCCTCAACCTGACATCCAAAGTCTTCCCCATCAACTTTTCCTTCCCCTGTTCCTGCTCACCTAAACTTTTGCATTCCCTATACTCCAGCCACAAAGACTCACTCTTTGTTCTGAGGATATCTCATTTCTCCTGTGGCCTGGCATAACCTCTACCCCTCACCTCCTCCAGTCAATTTCTATCAAACCTTTGAATCTCAACTACCAGCTCTTCATTCATATCAGCTGAATGTGCTTTCCTCCATTTTTGAAATTTTCAACCAGAAGACCTCTGGGCCCCATCATGGAAGGAAATACTAAATTTTGCCCTGTACTGCATTAGGTTTTTAAAAATGTATTTATCTCTCCCTCCCACCCATTTGGTGAAGGCTCCTTAGGGGCAGAAGCTCTATCTTGATCAACTTTAAGACTGAGAACAATGCTATGAATGTGGAAGATACTTTAAGAAATTATTAAATTTAATTTTCATAAGCTAGCCATCAGCTTTTTCAAAGGAGCTTGTTTACATCCTGCAATCCTATGAATAGTAATATTAATATTTATTAAAAGAATCATAAACAATTAACCTATGACTTTTTGGAACCCTCCACTTGCAGGACTGCTTCAGTATGGTTCGTTGTACTTTATGGAGGAAATGTGGCAAGAACAGGAGAAGGGTACTTCTTAAAGATCAAGTCCTTTCTTAAAAGATTCTCTTACGTAAGGAGAGTTTATATTTTAGCTTCCTCCATAGAGCTCAGAATTAAACACCAAAAGTACAATATCGCCCAGCAGAAGGTAGATGATTTTGCAGAGGAGAGCAAGAATCAGCATCTCTAGAGCACCCTGGTGTTTTGATTCAGTTCTATTTTTGCAAGATTGCCAAAGATCTTCGATATGAGAGCCTCTGTAAACAGCATAATAAGATTTAGCACTTTTCTGCCTAGTAATGATGAAATGATCGAAGCTAAACTTCAACTAACTCTTCCCCTCCTGCCAAATAGAAAAGAAAACAAAAGTGACTATTAAATAGAAATATTTAATAGGCCAGAAGCAACTTCTTGACCCCCACACTCAAGGCCCAACTTTTATGTCACTTTGGACTTTTCCATCGGAATCATGAATGTTCATGCAAGGGGTCTAAAGTATTCTTAATTATCCAGTATTACTTCATAAGTATTAATGGTTGATATC